TTGGCGCCTGTTGTCGAAATTTTCGTCTTTCCATTTATCACTGCTGAGAACTCAACTGATGCACATTTATTACCAAGGTACTAAAAGGCTAAGCAGTGATGCATGGAGATTTTTCATAGGGTACTTCATCATTCAACACTTTGTCGCCAAGTAAGAATGTTATAATGAGCAACAGCTCGGCTATGTTCTTACTTGTATTATTATTTTTAATAAAGTTTATATAAAAAAACCAAAAAAAAAAACCACTTATAATGTAAACTCTGCCAATAGAAAAAGAAGAAGAAAGGCGCTTATTTATTTTTTTAACTAACAAGGAAAAACTGAAGAACAACAACAAAATCTTTATATTTCTAGCTAATCGATAAGTTTACGTTTGAATTCTCTAAGATTAGTGGTTGTAACAACTTCATCAGATCATCTGTTCCACTCTACTATTGTTCGACAAATGAAAGAAGAAGAAACGACACGCGCTTAGTAGTAGCTCTCTTATAGAGAACAGCTCTAAAGTAGTTCAATTTATCCAAGTAGTGATGCACCAAAGGTTAAATAAACACAAACGTTTGAGAAAGGGTAAATTAGGCTGTTTGTGATAATTTAGAAGAAATGGAGAAGGCGAAAGTTCCTCTTATCTTAGAAGCTGTCCAGTTTATCTGGTCAGATACCTGTAAGTAAAAAAGCCCTTGCCTGTTTTCCTGGTCAGCACCTGTTTTTCTCCAGATCAGTGGAAGAAACCAATATCGCGAGCTTGTTGTATATATGTAAAAATTAGGCATGCTGCTAGCTAATTCGCTCATACTGCGCAAAAACCAGTAGGAATCCAGAAAGTTTTCTGGAGACCTTCCAATCTAACCATCAGACTCGAAATGTCGTTAGATATCTCTTGTTCAGCACAGAAATGTCTAAGATATTACTCATTATCTATGAGAATAAAGTTGAAATTTGTTGAAGAATGAGTGATTACCATATACTACGTGATTTAGTAAAACAAAATGGTGTTTATGAAAAAAAAAAACAGCTATGATCTTGAACCTGACCAGTAAAATAGACACCTGTAAGTAAACATGTCTTCATTCTGTTTTCAAGACCAAACAAACTGGACATTCTCTAGAGTAGTTAAGTAGTGTAAATCCAATTTTAGCATCAGCTCAATAATAAAACCGAGCAATTTTTTACAAATTAGACGAGCGGCTAACTTATTACTTTTTCCTCATTGTGCACTGTTAGAAGAAATTAATTTCCAGTTTATGGAAAGTCGATTATAAAATTATCAAACATTTTCTAGTTTTTATAAAACTGTTAACTATTTTATAGAAAATACAGTCGGGTTTCTAAAATATCAGTTTTCTAACAAATAGAAAATGTTTAAGAATTTTGTATAGTCTGAAGAATCCTTTCATTTTCTAAAGTATCTTTCTAAATTTTCAGAGAAGTGACTTATTTTCTGAAAATTGAACAATTCTAGAGAAACTCAGCAATTTTCTAGTTTAGAAAATGAAATTCAATTTTTCATAAATTCAAAATCGGCAGCTCTTCTATGTCTGATCAACAGAGAAAATAAAAGCGTGTATGGACCCAGATCAAACAATCCTACTGTAGGATCCTGCAAGCTCGTGTACGATCCTATGATAGGTTGTTATAGGATTCTTATCACAGGAATTTTGATAGGATTTATACGATGATCCTATATGAGGAAATCCTATGGTTTCTTATAATAGGATTTCCTAGGAATGATATTACGTAGGATTCCCTCGAAGTCTTATAGTCTGTAGGATCTTGTAAGATCCTACATAGGCTTCATCGACCTGGGCTTTATCGACAAAGAGGCTGTTTCTCCAGGATTATAAAGCTGGTTAGTAATGTACACTATCTATTGTTTAAATACCTTATTTCTTCGTTTTTTTATAATTGGCTGTTTAAAAATGTGTTTCTTTTCTAAACAAGTTTTTGCTTTGAAAAAACGAAATGTGCAGGGATATTTCAAGCCTACATAGTCTTATAGTTCAATAGGCCCTACATCAATAGAAGCAGACAGAAAAGCATCGCTAAAGAGAGACTCTGATAAAGCTTACTATATACAGTAAAAATATATTCTCAAATATCTTTTTATAGACTGTTCTTCGCATTATGGCATGAAAGAAGAATCTTTTCCTTCTGTTTCTTTATGCGATTGAAACCAGCCTTGTGGAACATGAAGGTGTGCTCTTTTTGAAAGTGTTCTAATTGCTTTTTCGTATTTATTATGTATAGGCCTCGTTCTCTAACGTCCATGTACGATTTGCGCTGGTATTGTACCGTGGATATCTGAGAAATAAAATTGTATTAACTCTTCTTGTACTGAGTAGACTTTCTTTAATATTTTTTGTTTTATTTATCTCACCTTTGTCCACTACCGTTAAAAAGAACAACTCTCTAGCTGCTTTCGTCGACGAGATATAATGGTTGCACTGCCGCAGGTGGAGACTTTTAGCGCCGTCTGTCGTTGACACACGAATTTTTTTCTAAAGACTGAATGGATTCTAAATCTTTTTCTTATGAATAACTTGAAATAGAAGACTAAGTTTCTCAAAATATGTAAATGGATAAACGGTTTACTGAAATTTTCTATGCAAATAAATCAAAATAATGTTGTTACAAACACTTTGATATTTTTCTGCCCCGTGGCATTGAATCTCGCGTATCTCAGCTAAAACTAAACGTAATCTTTATCGAAAATAGCCAAAAGGTAGTCTACAGCTTGAGAATCATTTTGATAATAAGAAGTGAAAGATCAATGCTCTTTTTACTGTAAAAAGTAACAATTGCTTTTCCAAAAACGAGCTTCGCACACTAAATACCCCATGAGATTAAAATGACAATATCTTTATCAATAAAAAAGAGAACATTCAACATATTATACACCATTCGATACCCCAAAAGTTGAAATATTTTCTGAGATGCATGCGAAAATTTTGCCATAGGCTTAACAGTTTCACGAACTCGGGCTCTCTTGTTACCTGTGCGATTTGTGATAGTATTGTACGGTGTGAGTGAAAATTTCGAAAAAAATAAACTTGAATGAGATCTGTTTTCCGTTATTAGGTTAAATAGTGCTAAGATGAATGAAAACATAGGTTATCGACTATACTGAATCTAGTGTCAATGTTAGCTTTAGAACAAAATGCAACAGCCGAGTGAAAATCCATACTAAGTGAAGTAACCCTTTTCTGATTATTTTCATCAAAAATTAAAAAATTCATAACTCAATCAAAATCCATCCAACCTACTTCAGAATATCAGAAAATACTCTATTTTATCTGCTCATTGTGATTCTGTACTTAAAATCAATAAAAACTATTCTTTTAGTTCTGAAGGTGTCTGGAAAACCTTTCTAGAAACCAAAGTATTTTCTATTGGTGTTTTCAACATTTATTGAGCTTTACGGTATGCTCCAGATACAATAGAGTATGTTACGGTATGCTCCAGATACAATAGAGTATCTTCTGATATTCTGAAGTAGGTTGGATGGATTTTGGTTGAGTTATGAATTTTTTAATTTTTGATGAAAATAATCAGAAAAGGGTTACTTCACTTAGTATAGGTTTTCACTCGGCTGTTGCATTTTGTTCTGGAAACTAACATTGCCACGAGATTCAGCATAGTCGAAAACCTATGTTTTCATTCATTTCCGACAGTCCCAAACCTAACGGCAGAGGAGTGCTAAGGCTTCAGGAAAAACGTCTATAGCTCCCGAGCCACGGATTTCCAAGATGTCGCTTAGGTTCAGTTTTGTAACGGACACTTTGGACTATGTATCTATAAAAGAAATCCATAGGTTTATATGTCAGATTCGGGAGAACCGAACCGATCCTTTAGAAAACCGGCTTCGAAAATTATTTCAAAATTTGTTTATGTTTATGGAAAGGTAGCTTCAAGTCTTTGCCATCGAATAGTGAAAATCGTAAGTCTTTATCTTTTATTCCCTTCGAGTTATTCAAATAATAACGACTTGTCTTCCTTTTTGAAACGGATAGTGGCTATGTTAAAAGAAAAGCTGAATTTTGGGAGAACAAAGAGACTGATAGTCGGGAAACGTTCTTTCCCTTAATCGCCAATGTGAGCATTATATGTGCCCAGATTTGATTGATTTGTGCCTGGTTTTAATTAGATTAGGAATAATAATGAGAAAGGTTATTATCACCATTTTTTGTCGTCAAAAAAAATGAAAATATCATCACATGAGTTTATATAAAAATTCGATACAAATGGTGTATGAATTGCTGCTTGGTCAGATGGTAAGAAATGCTGTTCACATTATACACGAAAATCATCAGTCGAACGAACATTTGGTATTGATACTGAACGATGATAGTTTAACAAACTTGGAACATCACTAGTGTATTCATTTTGTACAGCACGACGTGTCTGAGATTGAGTTAATCCAACTGCTACTGATTTTTTGACAATATCTCTAATAGGTGATGCAGCGCAAGTTGTACTAGCACGATTATCATGATTATGTTCGCTAGATGTTGAAACAGCAATTTTTTCATCATTGTAATCATAGATCACACGAATTTGAAAATCGCATTCAGAATATTTTCTAGCTCGGATACATCGATATATCACTTTTTTTCCAAGAGCTATTGTTTCGGTTCGTTTTATTGAAACATTATTTTGTTTTATAAATGATTTCATATCATTCTCATCAGAAAATTCTTCTACAAAATTCCACTGTCTTCGAGTCATGGTTTAAAGTAAGTTTTAGTTGAAAGTTTCTTTCTGAATTCAGTTATAGGGCTATCTTCGAACTAGGATAATCCTATAATTACTTCGAATTCTCTATTTGTGCATAGTATATCAATCGAATATACGAAAAAGATCCTTAATCAACATTGCCGGTCTGTGAATACTGTATAGTACTCTGTGTATTTTTGTACATAAACATATAGACGTATGTCAAAAGCGATATTTGTCAGAATAACTTATGTTCATTTCTAGTTCTACTATTAAATTTTCTCTGACACAAACCGGGTACATATCTATCTCCGGGCACAAAAGTGTAAAAAGATTTTTTTGTACCAGGACCGGGCACGAAAAGTCTTAAACGGGCATAAATCTGTCTTAATTTCGGGCACAAAAATATCTTCGTCCGAAAAAAGATCTCATTCAACTTAATATTTTTCGAAATTTTCACTCACACCGTACAATACCTGCGAAAAACGCACCCATTGTCCTTGTTTATTTTCTGATTTTGTTCCATTTATCACTAAAGCAGCCAACAATAGATTATCAAATGTAACGAGATAAGCAAGACGAATATACATAAAAAAAATCAGAAAATGGCCTTTGATTTCTGAAATCGATTTTATAGTTTACGGAAATTAATTTCAGTTTTCGATTTTACAAGAATGTGTATATACTTTCGTCGATAAATTCCTGAAAGATCGAAATCGATTTTTCTAAGAAATTAGCGTGGATTTTATAGAAAATGCACACAGTTCTAGATTTTCTAAAAATTGAAAAATCCTAAATGACAGCATATAGACATTCTTAGAAAAACGGTTTCGACTCAAGTGAGATAAAAATTATATTCTCAGTGGAGATACAATCCATATTTTAATCAAGTATCTCAGTTGAGAAATCAATATTTCTGCGAAAATATTCGTTTTTCAACTGAGATACATTTTATAAAATATAGGTCTCACGAATTTCTTAATTGAGATACAATTTTGACACATGCGTTGAAACATGCTATTGTGCAAGAGTGCGGTATACTAAGGTGTATTATTCAGTAGTACATGGAATGAAATTAGGTAATAGACCATAGTGGATACCGCATTCTTGCACAATAGTACGTTTCAATTCACGTGTCAAAATTGTATCTCAGTTAAGAAATTCGTGAAGCCCATATTTTATGAAATGTATCTCAGTTGAAAAACGAATATTTTCGCAGAAATATTGATTTCTCAACTAAGATACTTGATTAAAATTTGGGTTATATCTCCGTTGAGACGTTACGAGAAAAACATATTATTTTCTATAAATTATTTTCCAATTTAAAGTGTGAATGCACACGACAGAACAACAGTCTATTAAACCCCCTCCCC